ATGTGGGATCTTCCCGGACCGGGACACGACCCCACGTCCCCTGCATCGGCAGGCGGACTCTCAACCACTGCGCCACCAGGGAAGCCCTCTTGGCCTTCTTAATCAACAGAAATTGATAAGAGACCAGAAAAGAAATTCAGGCAAGGCAGAGGGGAGGGAGAACAGGTAACAGGTTCCCCTGCTTGCTCACTCCCTGAGCGGGGAGTGAGCTTGCTCCGTATATGGGGTGAGGGTAGGGGCAGGTCCAGGGGTCGAGCCAGAGGGGCGGCTTAGGTTGTTTGCCCACCCCTCTGGTGGGGCTGTGTGCCGGGGGCATGCTCAGTACCCTGCTTTTGCTCCCGGCTTTCCAGAAGTGGCAACTGGGTTTTTGGTCTTTTTGTATCTTGTTGTCCATAATTTTCCCAACTGTGCGTGCGCACGGTTCTTTTTAGTCCCTTATAGTTTCTTTGTATTTTGTTGCTGGAAGAGACATTTGGCCAGGTGCAAGCACTGCAGCAAAGGGTCCCAGGTCGCAGGTCGCAGCCTGTCTCTCTATGACCTCATCTTAACTTGAAGACTGGTTTCAAACAAGGTCACATTCACAGGTTCCCCGTGGGTATGAATTTTGGGGAACACTATTCAACCCAGTCCAATTCGTATCATATTTTTCATTCATTTAAAGTGTATAGTTCAGCAGCATTAAGTACATTCACAGTGTTAGGCAACCACTGTCCATCTCCAGAACAATTCCTCACCCCACAAGGAGACCCCGTCCCCGTCAGCAGTAACTCCCCTTCCCCGACCCCCAGCCCCTGGCAACCACTAATCTGTCTCTATGCATTTGTCTAGAGCATTTCTTCAGAAAACATTTTACTTAGAAATACTTTCAAATTATAGACTAGAGGAAGAACTCCCATAGTGCAAAAATAGCTCCGAGAACTCTCATAGAGCAGAATTTTTCAGCCTTGGTGCAATTGACATTTGGGGCTAGATCATCCTTTGCAGTGTGTAGGGCCATCCTGTGCACTGTAGGATGTTGAACAGTATCCCTGGCCTCTACCCACTATATGCTGGTAGTATCCCCCAGCTGGGACAACCAAAAATGTCTCAGGACATTGCCAAGTGTCCCTTGAAGGGAGGATAGGTCCTTGTTGAGAAATACTGCCATACCTCTTCCCTCCACAATCACCAATTTGCCGTATTAGCTTTCTCTCTCTCCCTTTTCCTTTTTCCCTCTCTCCCTTTCCTATCTCTCCTTTCCTTCCTTCCTACATCCCTCCCTCCATCTCTCTCTCCCCTCCCTCTCTCTTTATTTCTTTTCATTTTTATATCTATCTATCTACCTATCATCTATCTATCTATCATCGATCTATCCATTCATCTATCTTTCTCTGTCTATCCACACATACACCCACAAACAAAATTTTTCCCTGAACCATTTGAGAATTCATTACAGGCGTCATTCCCCTTCACCCTTAAATACATCACATATATCCTAAGAACAAGAGCAATCAGAACCCCACATCACCACAAGACAATTTTAAAACTCAGAAAATGTATCATAAATGCAATAATATTATTTAATACACAGTTTATAGTCAAAAATTACCAATTATCTCAAAAATGAGCCTTTATAGCTGTCCCCTCCCCTTGCCCCCATCCCAGGATCCAATCCAGGATAACATGTTGCATTTAGCTGTCAAGTTTCTTTGGCTTCCTTTAATCTGGAATGTTCCACTCTCTGTCTTTGTCCTTTTTTTTTTGTTTTGTTTTGTTTTTTGCGGTACGCGGGCCTCTCACTGTTGTGGCCTCTCCTGTTACGGAGCACAGGCTCCGGACGTGCGGGCTCAGCGGCCATAGCTCACGGGCCCAGCCGCTCTGCGGCATGTGGGATCTTCCCAGACCGGGGCACGAACCCGCGTCCCCTGCATCGGCAGGCGGACTCTCAACCACTGCGCCACCAGGGAAGCCCTGTCTTTGTCCTTTTGAAGAGTACAGACCAGTTCTTCTGTAGCTCAGCACTCCTTAACCCTCAATGGGTATATGTATCTCAGGTCTTGTTTTTGAATAAAGACTCTGATTCAGCAGGTCTGGGGGTGAAGCCTGGGATCTTGTGTTTCTCCCAGGCTCCCTGGCGACGTTGATGCTACCAGGAACGCACCTGGGGGTGGAGGGGAGTCGGTACACTGTCATCTGGGTTGATCTGATGTCTCCTCATGATGACATTCAGGTTAAACATGGATGGTGTTCGATCCTTCTTGTGCATTTTTTTCCTACCACAAATTTGCAACATACCCCTTTGTAATTAATAAGCAATGTGTGCGGATATCTCAGAAAAATCTTTTTAAAGCAAACTTCTCTGAAGAATTGACCACAAGCATGGGTCTACAGTTAATTCCAGGTTTTGTAGCATGGGAATCAGCAGAAAGCCATAGGAAAACCCAATTCCAATGTGTTTATAGAGTTTAAGGAATGAAGGTTTAAATGCAGTTGCTGAACAAACTCTGATAAACCAGGGTCATGATGGTCAGAGATGCCAGGTGTGGATGGTGAGTCAGAAATAATGAGCAGGAGAGAGGAGTGTGTTCATCACAGGCACCCAGCATCCCGTGGGAGGGTGGGACGGAGGCCAATTAGCAGGCACACGGAGCAACAAAGCTTTACCTTAATGCAAACAGCCATCGGGAGACACTCATGCCCATCATTAGAAATGCTGGACAATGCACCTTTCCTCTTCTCAGCTTGGGGGGCAGTTTTCTCTTTTGGACCTTTGTCTTTTGCCACAAATCATGGTGGCAGCGACCAGCCCAGTAAGTGGGCTTTTTATTTGTTTGTTTATTTGCCAGGAACAGAAATCCACTCGCACTGTCACATTAGAAATAAGGGCTTTATGCCATGGCCATGGGAGAAACTCAATGGATGCAGGGCTACCCCATAGCCAACTCGAGGGAGGGGTAGCCCAGATTTCACGTTGTACCCCAGATTTTGTGATTGATGCCCACAGTATGGAGGCCTGGCCTGGACTCTACAAGAGCACAGAGACAGACCAGGGAATGTTCCAGAATAAAAGGGTGGGCCATCAGGCCAACCTGATGAAGTCTACATGGAAGGTGGGGTTGTCATGGGAACCAGAAAGCCACAGAATCAGGGAAGTTTCTCATCCCCTCTCCCTCTGGGTCCTCTCTGCACATTGGCTTCTGCTCTAGACTCTTCCTTTCTCCTCTGTAAGTGTAGCTTGCCTGCCACAGCTTCTGTTGGCATCATGGGCTTCCATTTTGGAGAACTGGTGCCATCACACTGGCTCTTTCTTGAGTCCTGGTTGCAAAATCTGGGGAGATAGACATCAACTGGCATTCTTGGCCCCATGTCTGGTCCAGTTAGTAAAGCTGGGGGCCTCCTGGGGTGGAGGACCACCCTCCTTTACCGCCTGGTAGGGGAGGTGGTCTATGGAGGGTGACTCCAGGGGAGGTGATTTTGGTATGTCCTGTTGCATGAAAATATGTTATGTTTACACACAGAGTTGACCTAGAGTGATGGTTGAGAGCCTGGCTCTCAGAGCAGATCTGAGTACTTCTGGGCCAGTGGTTCTTACCTAGGGAGATTCTGTGCCCCCCCCACCGCCAGGTGGATACTTAACAGTGGGGACATTTTGGTTGTCATGGCTGGGGGATGGGGTGCTACTGGGATCTAGTGGATGGAAACCCGGGATGCTGCTCAACACCCTGTAGTTCACAGGACCCTCCCCCAACCAGAGGATCATGGTGCCCCAATTGTCAGTAGTGCTGAGGGTGCGAAACCCTGGCTTAGCATGAAAGATACTGTCTGGCTATGTCTCTATTCAGCTACCATAATGCCTATCTATCCATCCATTCATCTATTTATCGTCTTCATCTATCTATAATCTATCATATTCGTTTGTCCATCCATACATGCATCTATGTACACCTATCTATAAGCTATCATCTATCTATCTATCTATCATGCTGGTGACACCTAGTGGGTGGAGGCTAGGGATGCTGCTAAACATCTTACAAAGTACAGGACAATCCCCACAACAAAGAATGATCCAACCCTTAGTGTCAACAGTGAGAGGCTGAGAAATGCTGTGTTAGGCATGCATTGTGGCCTTTCCGAGCCCCCTCTGTACAGAGGGGTAGCTGGGACAGTGTTCTGTATGGCTGCTGGAAGGAATAACAAGATCATGCTCGCAAAGGGACATCACTGGCCAAGATCCTTCAGCCAGGATCAAACACAGGGCTGTGTGACCTCACACGCAGAGTTTGGTCTGCAGTGCAGGTAAGGCAGGTCCCATGTGGGGGGCAGATGAGGTGTTGGGTCCACATTGTCAAAGGGATGTCTTTGGGGATGGAGGAGGGCTCTTAACCTAGTGGTTCAGCTGTCCGTGGGCACATTCCCCAGTCTTTCCAGCACCGTCCAATAGAATGTTGGTGATGAGGGCAATGCTCTGTATCTCATTGTCCAATGTGGTAACTACAAGCTGCACTGGCAGTTGACCACTTGAAAGGCAGCTTATGCAATCCAGAAACTGGATTTTAAATTCTATTAATTTTTAACTTTAAACGCCCATGTGTGGCTGGTGACTACTACATTGGACATCATAGCTGTAGACTTGATGAGACACAAAATCTTTAAGAGCAGGGATGAAATTGAATTCCTCTTCCCCTGGCCATTCAGGGACATGAATACACAAACCTCAGTTTCCCCATCTGACAAATGCAGGAAGGCTTTCTGCTCTGCCTCCCTCCAGCTGAGTTTGGAGACTCAGCAGCAAACTTGGATGAGGAGGTGCAAAGAGGTACAGGTCCTAATATTGAGCTGAGCAGGTTTAGGGAGGACAAGAAAATGGCACCAGCCCAGGATTGTTCACAGAGCTTCACCTGCTCTTACATCCCTTTGGAGTCTCCTTCCTCCTATTGTAGACTCCTGCTATTGAAGCCTAGACAGACAAGGTTGAGGCATGCCCCCAGGCAGGGGGTTGTCAGTGTTGAGCACAGATGGTATGACATATGATCCCACTTATGTGAAATGTCGAGTATTGTCAAATCCACAAAAAGTAGATTAGTGATTGCCAGGGGCTAAGAGGGGGCAGGTGTCGCAAACATGGTGGTACCTCATGACTGTGTCTAGCAAAGTCTCTTGCCCCCAAACCTGCTCCAACAGAGGATTCCCCATTCCTTTTTTATAATTTTTAAATTTTAATTTATTATTTATTTATCTTTTTGGCTGCACTGGGTATTCGTTGCTGCATGCGGGCTTTTCTCTTGTTGCGGTTAGAAAGGGCTATTCTTCATTGCAGTGCGCAGGCTTCTCATTGTGGTGGCTTCTCTTCTTGCGCAGCATTGGCTCTGGGTGCATGGGCTTCAGTAGTTGTGGCTCATGGGCTCAGTAGTTGTGGCTCACAGGCTTAGTTGCTCCGTGGTATGTGGGATCTTCTAGGACCAGGAATTGAACCTGTGTCCCCTGCATTGGCAGGCGGATTCTTAACCACTGCGCCACCAGAGAAGTCCCCCCATTCTTAGTAGTGGGGTCACCTTCTGCATGACCAGGAGTCATGCCTGTTTCTTCTCCTTCCACATCCTTTTTCCCTCCATAATCAGAAAGTCCTCTTGGCTCTGCCTCTAAAACATCCTAAACCAACCATTTTTTCCCCATTCCTACTGTCCCTATCTTGTCCTAGGTCATCCCCGTCTCCACCTGAACAAGTGCCCCAGGCCCTCACTTGTCTCCATGTCACTGTGTTTATCCCCCAACAAGCCCCTTCCCCAGAGAGGCAAGAATGAGACTTTTTTTTTAGTAAACTGCTATTTGGAAATAATTTTACATTTACAGAGGAGATAAAAAGGTTGAACAGAGTTCCCACAGATCCTGCCCCTTACTTCCCCTCACGTTAACATCCAACATAACCACAGCATTGCTGTCACAGCCAGGACATTAGCATTGATACATGACCGTGATCTCAACTCCAGACTTGATTTGGATTTCACCAGTTTTTCCACCATCATTTTTTCTGGTCCTGGAGCCAATTCAGTATTCCTCATTGCATTTAGCATAGTGAGATTATTTAATTGAGGTAAAATTCACATACTGTAAAGTTAAAATTTTAACGTGTTACAATTCAGTGACATTAGTACATTCACAATGTGGTGCAACTGTCACCTCTATCTAGTTCCAGAACATTTCCATCATTACTGAAAGGAGACCCTGTCCCTGTTAGCTGTCATTCCCCATCCCTCCTCCCTCAGCCCTTGGTAACCACGAATGGATCTGCCTCTATGGATCTGCCTTTATGGATCCTGATCTGGATATTTCATGTAAATGAGATCATACAATATGTGGTCTTTTGTGACTAGTTTCTTCCACTCAGAATGTCTTCAAGGTTTATCTGTATTGTAGTGTGTATCAGCATTTTGTTCCTTTTTATGGTCAAATAATATTCCATTGTATGGATACACCCCTGTCTCAGTCCATGTGGGCTGCTATAACAAAAATACGATAAGACTGGGTGGCTTTATAAACAATCTATTTCTCACAGTTCTGGAGGCTGGGAAGTCTAAGATTAAGGCACCAGCGGATTTGGTGTCTGGTGAGACCCTGCTTCCTGGTTCACAGACCGTCATTTTTAACTGAAACTACATATGACAGAATGGACAAGGGGTCCATTGGACAAGCTCTCTGGGGTCTCTTTTATAAGGGCACTAATCTCATTCGTGGGGGCTCCACCCTCATGACCTAATCACCTCCCAAAGGCCCCACCTCCTAATACAATCACCTTGGGGATTAAGACTTCAACATATGAATTTGGGGGAGACACACATATTCAGTCCATAGCAACCACATTTTTCTATTTTTTCATCTGTTGATGGACATTTGGATTATTTCCACCTTTTGGCAATTGTGACTACTGCTGCTGTGAACATTCTTGTACAAGTTTTGGTAGGAACACCTGTCTGAAATGAGATTTTAAAATCATGAATGAGACTGAATTTCTTCTGTCCTGATTAAACCCTTCCAGTGACTTCCCAATGCTTTTAGAAAAGTATCCAAACTCTTTACCAAGGCCTGTTGGATCTGGCTGCCTCCCATCCCTGGCCCCAGATTTTCCCACACTGGCTCTTTCCCTCCT